CACACACACACACACACACACACACACACACACACACACACACACACACATTCCATCGATAGGATGAGCAAATCGGAATGAATCTTCCGCTAAAATGTGGAAATATACAGTGTTATACACTGCCACTTTTCGAGCAAAATCGAAATGAAACGTGTGTGTGTGTGTGTGTGTGTGTGTGTGTGTGTGTGTGTGTGTGTGAGGGATGTGTCCACGCAGCCGCGCCAACATCAACCAAAAAAAAAAACTGTCGTTAAAAAAAAACCGCGCCGCGCCCACGGTGCACTGGGCCTGTGCCGGAAAAAGGTCTCATCGGGACGTGTCACGTGAGACCCGCTGTTGCCTTTAAGAGTATATATATATATATATATATATATATCGTCACAAACAGAACTGCCCGGTAAACCGTAGGCAGAGAGAGAGAAGAGGACAACAAACGAGGGGCTGTGACAAACTGTTTCGTCGGAGTTTCACCGACTCATCAGGAGGCTGAACCCTCAACAGTCTGCAGAATCCCCTCACTGATTACACCGTAAATGATAATCTACCTTAACCAAAATCAAAGTAGACTATCACTCACCCACACCAGATGGAAAACTCTACAGACTGTCGGTTCACACCCCATCACACTATATATATATATATATATATATATATATATATAAAATATATATACATATATATATATATATATATAATATATATATATATATATATGTATGTATATATAACTTTTCTAGGCATTTTTTAGGGTGTCCGGGCACCCAAGTTATGCTCGGGCACCCGCCCGGGCATGACCCCGTGGCAGGTTCTGAGCAGCCCCAGGGCAAACAAAAATCAAAAAATTCCGGGAAAAAAAATGTTGTGTAGAATTGCAATACAAACGACTTTTGGCCAAGGGTCACATTAGAATTCTTCACGAAAGTGAAGATACAAAAGAAAATAACAAAATCACACTACGACAGCTTCTAGCCGCTTGAAAGCGAACTCCCCGATCCCAAAGGAGCACAACCATTGATAGGAATGAGACTGCTTACGTGACTTACAGGCATGCACGTGTTCTCATTAACTAATATTTACGCTACGTGTAGTCCTACTGATGTACAAGTGCTTATAGCACGGTGAGATGCCGATATACACGCAATTCGACAAATGCAAGAAATCCAAACCATGTGCTTCATGCAGATGCAACCAACAACCGACATACTTTCCCAGCCAGCGCATTCCTTCCTCCAAAGCAAGGCGTAGGATCACTAATCGCAACAAATCTCCCAGTTGCCGATCGACAACCAAGGACTGACATCGTAAGTCAATAATAAACTTGCACAACTTCGTAAACTGCAACATCTCCAATGTTCCTCAATTAGGGTCTTGTTCAAGCTGATGTGCCGCATTGTCCGCCTTGCAAGAGTCCTCAACCTCAATAACGTCCTCTGCTTCCGTAGCGTGCGCACCGAATCTTAACATCATGCAACGATTGAAAATATATTGAATCACATCGATCTTGCCGTTATATTGCACGTCTTCCTCCTTACGGAGCCGTTGTAGCTCCACTGCATCCAGTCCCTTGATCTCGTCAATTACCTTGTTACGATAACGTAGCCTTAGTGGTGACTGCTCTTACCAGCACCACTATCACCGGAGGTTTTTTTTCTCAAAAAAAAAAAAAAAAAGCCTTTCCAATACACCCCAGGTAACCAGGGTACAGGCACGACCAAGAGGAGGTGTCTTTTTCGATGTCTTTGGTGTCTTCTTGAAAGTCGGCATCGTCACCGGTGACTTCCTTCCAGGCGTCCTCCATCCACGTGACTTCGTTGGAATCTACTTCTTGTGTTGGGATCATATAAGACGAGTTGACAGCTTACCAGGCTTCAGTATGCCACGCTTAGGAGTCCTTTTTGGGGGGTTATCCATGGGCGAGCTTTCCTCAAAGACTGGCTCTGGTCCCTTCTTCCGTTTGTCCGAAATACATAGGCGCTGCGCCTGAGTGTTCAGCTCCTGTGTGACGCTGGTGTCACTTCCCTCCTCAATGCCATCGTAGGCTGAATCCTCATCAGATACGTTGGTCACTTTCTGCTTCCCTTTCCCCAAAACATTCTTCTCACTTTCATTCATCCGAGCTGCCACATGAATATGAAGATCCTTCTTCATCTTTGCTCGCTCTTCCTTTTCCAAATCTGCTGCACACTTAGCAAGTTCAACCTTCTTCTTAGCTTTGGCTTCCTTCCGTGCCTTCCTCTCATCCTCGTTCTCCCTCTCCGTTTTTTCCTTCTCCTCGGCCTCCTTCGTCTCCAGCTTACGACGAGTCTTTTCCTCATAAAACTCCTTCATCGCTGCCACAGACTTGCTCAGCGTCGAAACTGCCGATCTGACATCCTCATCTCTGCCCGAGGAATCATCGCGCCTACGCGAGGCATATCTTCTTGGCGACCTTGTCCTGCGTGAGTCAGAAGATGTGGATGGCCTATCAGAGTAGTGTTGTCTCCCCCGATACGGGCATTGATTCGCGTAATGACCAGGTTCCTGATACTGAAAGCACATCGGTGGTCGATAGCATCACTGCTCATCCCCGCCTCCGGCTCCCCCACAGCACCTTCACGCTGATCGTTCCCCGACATGTTGAAAACGTCGAGGACTGCATGCGCCACAAATTGTGCTGTCAGGATACTATGAACAACATACTCTCCAAACTCGGACGCCGCGTTTCGACGGCTGCCAAGCCGTCCTCATCAGGGGGTTTCCACCATACCTAACCCACACTAGTGAAACTGCACCCGTACGCACTTCCGTCCGTCGTCCAGGCCAGTCTCCGGAGACTGGCAAGAACTAGGGGGGCTAAGAACTGCTAAAAAAAACACTATATACTAACAGGAACACAACAGCTGGGTCAGGTCCGGCAAGAGTCTAACGGAAGCCAATAGTACTCACTACTCAGTGAAAACCCAAACCAAGCCAACACTGGACTGTTACCCAAGTTCAAATCCTGCTGAACTTACTAGGTCCCGGAACAGGGGTACAGTTTGCAACAGATAACCAAAAAAGTAGATAGGGCCAAGACAGGTCGTAACCGGTACCAACTGCGGGGCTACGCACAAAGGCAGAAAATAAGACCAAAACAGGGTAGTAACCGGTACCAACAGCGGGGCTAAGCACAACAGCTAAGCACAACAGCACAAACACCATGTCCGAACAAACACTCTGGAGAGTCTAATAGGAGGGTGATAAGAAGGGTGATAAAAGTATCAGCCAAAATCACTTGCTTGATGACAAATTTGATTTCAGCTCGAACCATCAGTGGTGTGAACCTTTGCACTCTATTGTCTTGCTTTTAATGATTGGACTACGATAGACCCAACGATCCCTTTACGACCAGCATCGGAGTTTCCAGACCCCTTTCCCCCCTCAACGCTAAGCTTGGTCTCAAGGACTTGGTATGGGTATGAATGAACCTGAGACCAGGATAGTTCCAGCAAATCAGGATGGATAGAAAAAGTGAGAATAGTGCTAGGACCATGATGCAGCGATCTGGCGCCCCTAGGGGGTGAAGAGGCACACTTTCATGAATTTTCTGATGAAGTTCTCTGAACATACTCGTTATGGGACGCTGGGCTCGGTTCCCAGCTGGTGCCATTTTTATGAAGATATGGTTGTATCTAAGGGACGCTGGACCCGGTTTCCAGCAGGTGATGCTCCCCACCAATAGATGGAGCTTGAGTTGGTTTAACAAAAAAAAAAAAAAAAGAAAAAAAAAAAGAGTTCCTCAAGTTCCAAAGAGTCCACAATATGGCTCCTCTTAGGGGGAGATGATCCCAAGGTAAAAAAAAAAAAAAAAAAAAAAGATCCTGAGATCCGACTACCAAGGAAGATGGGATTAAGCGCCTGAATCTGGAGTGTTTTATGTAGAGATGCACAAAAGCAGAGCAATAACAATCATCTGCACATCTCCGCAAACATGTCCAGATTCAGGTTTTCAATCGCATGTCTTTGCTGGTGGGATCTCGCCCTTAGCGCCCTTAGTGTCTCATCTGCATCTGTATAGCGCCGGGAGGGAGGCATTTGTCTCACTGCCGTTCCGAGCTGTACAAAACGGTCCCTCCATCTGAGGCTCTCCTTCCTTGTGGAGAAACTTTGACAAGCAAACTGTTTTTTTTTCTTTCGTACACAAAAACAGGGCGACGTCTTCGAGATATCTTCATTGCACTGGACAGGCCCGAGGTAATTAAGAAGTATGTTAATTTCTTAAACCACCAGTACTTGGCCTAGCTATCGGCCGCGGTGCTTCCCTGTTAGCGCCGCGGAATTCGGGCTTCTGCCTACCGAACCGCATTGGCTGGAGGCCACTGCCAAAATGAAAACGAAAAAGACCGACGGCGGTTTGGCAGGACTTGGCGAGCAGGGGGCTGGGAGGTCTCGGCTTCGATAGCTGGGCCAAGTACTGGTGGTTTAATCTGACTGCATCTGGATTCGAACTTGGGTCTAGATTTCATTTTTTTTTAATTATTTTCTTTTTCTTGGGTCTGGATTCGAACTTGGGTCTGCATTTCATTTTATTTTTTTATTATTTTATTTTTCTTGGGTCTGCTTCTCCCCCCCCCCGAAATTGCAGTTTTATTAACAGGGCCCAGTGCCCGAGGCAATTACATAATGAAGATGCTCAACAACAGGGACAACAGGTTGTCCTGCCCCACCAGAAGCCCGGAGCCCCATCCCTGCATACACAGTCTCCACACTCCTTATCCTAACAGGGCACCAGCCCTACTACAAAAACAATCTCTATTCACACCTACTATAAAAATTACCAATTCCAGATAATCAAAATTCCCAGTCTACACACTCCTGACCCTAACACGGCACCAACCCTGTTACAAAAGCAATCTCAGTTCACTATCAAGTCCAAATAGTCGGACCAAAATTCCTGCAACACATCATTTCATAGCACGAAGCACAACCCATCCAAAGAATCGAAGTCTCACCCACACCACCACTTCCAACACAAGGCTGTCACGGGAGTCTAAGTATTTCCACGTCATTACCCCACCACGAACCAAACGCCGGCAACAGAACAAATTAGGGTCGCCCACCTAGCTTCATTTGAATGCGTTAGTAGTTCAAACCTGGCATCGTAGAAAATACCACCCACACACCCCATCTCCCACCAAGCATCGAACTAAGCAACAGCAACGGAGTAAAGTAGGGGTGCCCACCTATAAAATCAGAAGCCATATTGTTCGAGCAAGGTCTATCTAACCGAATACCAACTCCGATCCAAGAACAGGTAAGTCAACGCCCAAATACCCAGGAGCCATGGAAAGGACACACAGCAGCACACATCGAGAAAGGAAATCCTACACCCAAAAACTAGAATGCGAAAAAGAAAATCCTAGCAAGCATATAAATTAAAATACAGAGTAACGAAAAGAGAAGAGAAATCCTACAAAACACAGACTAAAATAGGGAAAGCCTACAAACCATCTAAGCCAAAACACGAAAAGCGAAATCCTACAAAACACATAAACTAATGGAAGAACTCAGCAAGGAGTAAGACGGTGTTGGGAAGTCTTAGAAGGGTTTGTCAGGGAACCTGAGAGTGGTGAGCATGCGTAGGACTCTGTTTCACAGTTTGTTCTCAGCCGAAGCCAGGTAATGGCCCCGGTATCTCAAATGACCTCAAAAGACCTCAAATGTTCTCAATGATCTGTATAATTCGATATGGGACGCTGGGCCCGGTTCCCAGCACTGCTCCCCACAAATAGACTGGAGCATTTGTTCAAAAAAAAAAAAAAAAAAAACCTGGGGAATAGTCGAAACACAGAAAAAATCGAAGTACTCCACACGCGAACGCCAAATCTACGAAACAGGCAATTTCGGAAATATCCCTAAAACTACACTTAACCCTAAAAGGCCTCAAACGATGCATGCCAAACATTAGATAAGTCTTCCATCTGCACTGCGTACTGCGTTCCTCTCGAGGATCTTCGATCTTCAGTTGTAGCAAAAGCATTTTTAACCAGAAGACCTCCAACAGAACTTCGTTGGATTAATCCTCATCATGGTCCTCCGACTCCCACGACAGGTCAGCGCCTAAAACGGCATCCCACGGGTCAGCGCCTAAAACGGCATCTTCAACAGCATCGTAACCAAAGTCCTCATACCAAAGTCTTCATACCTCAGAACAATCGTGCATCAGCACGTTGATGAAGCTCCATACCTGGTATAAAAGCATCATCCTGCAGACACGCCACACCCACACACCAATGCACTCTCAACTCAGCATGCCAGCAGAACCACGCCTAACCCAACGGCCAGGAGCGGTAGGGGCGGATGAGACCAGCCGAGCATGGTGACTCGACCGTGGCGGCGCCTGCCGCCGGGCCCAGCCTGCAGCGTCATCACCTTGCCTCACCCAAGCAGCTTCGGGTTCTCGCGCTAGGCCACTCCGCAATGCTCTCCTGCGGTCCGCCATGTCATAAACTTCAACCGTTCATAATTGTACATACTGAGTTAGCCCGTTGGTCTTGACAAGCAAAACTTTTTTTTTCCCCCCTTTTTCCCCTTTTTTCCCCCTTTCCCCCCCTTTTTTTTTTCCTTTCTTCTTTTTTGAAATTTTTTTCTCTAAAACCTTTCTTTTATTATTAGGGCCCAGTCCCCACGGCAAGAACACAAAGCAAAAGGGTTCCATTCCAGAAATTAAGGGGCCGCAAGGTCTCCAATCCGGTCTTCGTGAGGTGGAGCCACGCAAACTGGATAAGGATATGTTAGGTTCAGGGCCTCAGGCTCGTTCCTCGGCCTGAAAAGTGGATTGGTGGCTTTGGGCCTGACTTCCATGGAGCCTTCACACTGTTTATTTTGTTTTGTGTTGTGTTTTTCGGTCTTTCTTTGGAAACTATACTAAATTCTTGTCTCAAATTCTCTTTTGCCCTTCACTACCTACCTACCAGTACTCCTAAGGCCTCACAATAGAGGGGACCCCTGCAAAGCATAGGGCCTCACAAACTTAGAGGTATTCATGTTGCCCTGGGGACACCGGTTGGGGTCCGGCTACTAACGCAAAGACCCAACTTTTTTTTTTTTTTTTTTTTTTTTTTTTTTTTTTAAAGAGGGGCGGCCAGAGCGTCATATGATCCAGGCACTCCGACCTGGTTCATACAACAGCCACCTTTGAATTATAAAAGCCGGAAAACGGGTCCGACGTGCAGTAGCTACGCCTCCCTTCACACTGAATTCAAAGTGCGGAGAAAAATAGAAAACCCCAACAAAAATGAAATGAAAACCATGGACAGCCAACGGGCTTATCTCTGTTGGTAAGCCCATAAACTGTTGAAATAAGCCCATGAACTGTTGAAATACAGACCTGAATTCAAATCCAATTGCCTGGAGGTGGTCAGTTTGGTCTTTTTAACGCTCAGCTCATTTCATTTCATGCACCGAAGGTCCCTCGGGACCTCCGTTCAAATTGGAACAATACAGAGAAGATTAGCATGGCCCCTTCCAAGTGTTTTTTTTTTTTTTTTTAAGCCTCCCCAAGGATTTCACACACCAAGGAAGAGGCCCCGGAATCATTAAAAAAAAACGGATG